TTGCCTGAGCAACAGAAAAGAGTTCCCTTCATTCTTCAGGACAATTCCAAGTGATGCCTTTCAAGTCAAAGCCATGATTCAAATCCTCAGGCACTATGGATGGACCTGGGTTGGTGTCATAGCAAGTGATGATGACTATGGTCAGAGTGCTGTCAAGAGCTTTATTGAGGAGGTAAACAAGTTTGGCTGTATAGCTTTCTCAGAAACTCTCCCCAGTGTCAATCTGAGAATGAGAATGCATCAGATCATTAACACCATTAAGCAGTCAACAGCAAGAGTTATTGTTGTATTTTCATCAGAAGCATATTTTATTCCTGTTGCTGAAGAGATTGTTCTCCAGAACATCACTGACAGGCAGTGGATTGCAAGTGAAGGCTGGATCTCCTCTACTGTAATACTGAGTAAGGAAAATTTCCACTCATTCGGTGGGATAATAGGAATTGCAATTCGCAGGGGAGAAATCCCAGGGCTGGAAACATTTCTTCTAAAAATCCACCCTGTTGATAACTCCAGCAATAGTTTACTCAATCAATTCTGGGAAAAAATCTTTAACTGCAAATTTCAAGCACAAACAGATAATTACACTTTCCCAGGCTTGACAAGTGACAGAATTTGCACAGGCTCAGAAGATATTGAAAGCGCAAAAACGGCTTACAGTGATGTGTCAGAACTGCGATCTTCCTACAACGTGTATAAAGCAGTGTACGCCTTGGCACACTCCCTGCACAATCTGATGTCCTGTGAGCCTGGAAAAGGGTCCTTTCAGAATAACTCCTGTGCAGACGTCACAACTGTGCAGCCCTGGCAGGTGAGAGACTAATTTCAAATTCATTTTTATTTTTCTGAAAAAAATACAGTATATTCTGCTATGATTCAAAATTCCGTATGATCTCAAATATATTTTAACATTGTTCTTAATATTTAAAATGAGCTATATTATTTAATGCATAATTTGTTTGCAGTACATATTCATCTGAATTATTGGTATTTTTTTTAAACAAAAATATTATGTGAAGTGATTTAAAATGTAATATAAGTCAAGAATTCTTGACATTATTACTGGTGGCCTTTATACTGTCATACTCTTTTATTTATACTGTATACTTATTCATTTCTTGATGTAGGTTCTATCCTTGATCTCGTTTAAACACAGAACAGATTTTTTTTTCTTACTAATAAGCTTCTGTTATTATTCCTAAGGTACTAATATGTTTCTGTATTTATCTGTAAATGCTTCAAACAACTGTACTGTCAGTATGTACGATATGGATTTCTTTTTTACATAAATCTGGTTCTAAGAAGTTAAAAATAACACTTAAAGGGAACTCAGGCTTTCTATCAAACAGAGGAACATTTAAAAAAGCTGTTCCTCATAGAACTTTTTTTTT